TATATATATATATATATATATATATATATATATTACACACACACACACACACAAATATTTATTCATTCTCTCTCCATTTTGACATTTCAGGATGACCTTTCAGTGCCTTTACACCAGGAGGATATGGATGGTTCCTCGGGATTGCTCTTCCCCTTTTTTGATAATGACACTAATATGATGTATTTGGTGGGAAAGGTGAGTGTTGTTTTATGATTTTATATACATAATTTCTGAACCGTTTACAGCAGGGGTGGGCAAACTCAATTTCTCCAGCTGTTGAGGAACTACAAATCCCATGAGGTATCGCAAGATTTTCACAGCCACAACTTCCAGAGACAGATGCATCATGGGATTTGTAGTTTTGCCACAGCCGGAGGGCCGGAGTGTGCACACCTCTGGTTTTACACTATGACAGCAATGTATCAGCAGTGGTCAACCACCTTTTTTTATTCCACAGGGAGAAGGAAATATTCGATATTATGAAATTGTTCCTCAGAAGCCTTACTTTCAATACTTGAATGAATATCGTTCCAACTTACCTCAAAAAGGAATTGGTGAGCATCACAGTCAATGATTGTAATATTTAAGATGCTATGTGTGGGAAAATGTTTTTAAACATAATTTTAGTCTCTACAATATGCCCACAATGGTTCCCCTTGTCACTTTAAGCACCCAGGAGGAGACTTAAGCTACACACACCCTATACAATCAGACTGCACAATATCTGTACAATCTCCTTTAGATTTACCAAAACTATGTAATATAAGGACCTACCTAAACAATCCATTCAGTTCATATCTCATCAGGCAGGCAATTGGGCTACATAGTTGATGGGAGATCTAATAGAGATTGCGTAGTCTATGGCCAGCTTTAAAATCTGCATAATAAAGTGAGCAGAAAATATTCCGTTTGTGATACTGCATCTGCATGTCCAGTTCAATAAAAAGCTGTAGTTCTTATTATAGTTATCTTATAGATGTTATCACGTGATATCACACAATGCTTGCTTAGCTCTTATATGTACTTCTGTTCATTTGCTCTACCGGAACATAGTCTCACTTCAGAGCTGCTGTAAAACAGAAAGAATAAACCTCCTCTGCTGTGTACTAAACACAAAAATGTAACATATATTTCATCTTACCTGGGATGGGGTGGCTGTGTTAGCTTTCCTTTTTCAGGGTCTCGTCCTCTATTTTCACCTGGTGATACTGCCAGTAACACATTACCTGCCCTAGGCTGTTCTTGTGATATGAATTACAAACACCCCTTCCCTTTCCACATTAGATGGTTGAGATTGCAGATAACATTGTTTAAGGTTTCAGTGCAGTGCACAGGAAGTTACAAAGACACAAAATATGTGTTCTAGCAGGATCAACAAGAATGTGTTTCATACTTGCAGAAAATGTTCTGAAAATGTAAAACTAATGCAGTTACCACATCTAAGGACTGGTAAGCTGCAATATATGACATATTTGTTCTTGGGTGTTGCTGTACTTTAACTAGGTTAGGGTGTGTGTGTGTGACACCTACCTTTTACACGCACATGAACTTTAATAGCATCCCAGTCTTAGTCCGTAGGGTTCAATATTGAGTTGGCCCACCCTTTGCAGCTATAACAGCTTCAACTCTTCTGGGAGGTCAGATACTGATGTTGGATGAGAAGGCCTGGCTCGTAGTCTCCATTGGGGTCAGGACTCTGTGGAGGCCAGTCAAGTTCCTCCACCCCAAACTTGCTCATCCATGTCTTTATGGACCTTGCTTTGTGCACTGGTGCGCAGACACGTTGAAACTGGAAGGGGCCATCCCCAAACTGTTCCCACAAAGTTGGGAACATGGAATTCTCCAAAATGTCTTGGTATGCTGATGCCTTAAGAGTTCCCTTCACTGGAACTAAGGGGCCAAGCCCAACCCCTGAAAAACAACCCCCACGCCATAATCCCCCCTCCACCAAACTTTACACTTGGCACAATGCAGTCAGGCAAGTACCGTTCTCCTGGCAACCACCAAACCCAGACACGTCCATCGGATTGCCAGACAGAGAAGTGTGATTCGTCATTACAGAGAACACATCTCCACTTCTCTAGAGTCCAGTGGCGGCGTGCATTACACCACTGCGTCCGACGCTTTGCATTGCACTTGGTGATGTAAGGCTTGGGTGCAGCTGCTCGGCTATGGAAACCCATTCCATGAAGCTCTCTACGCACTGTTGTTGTGCCAATCTGAAGGCCACACGAAGTTTGGAGGTCTGTAGCTATTGCCTCTGCAGACAGTTGGCGACTTCTGTGCGCTTCAGCATGCTCTGTCCCCGCTCTGTCATTTTACGTGGCCTACCACTTTGTGCCCGAGTTGCTGTTGTTCCCAGTTGCTTCCACTTTGTTATAATACCATTGACAGTTGACCGTGGATTATTTAGTAGCAAGGAAATTTCCTGGATGGACTTTTTACAAAGGGGGCAACCTATCACGGTTCCACGCTTGAATTCACTGAGCTCCTGAGAGCGACCCATTCTTTCACAAATGTTTGTAGAAGCGTCTGCATGCCTAGGTGCTTGGTTTTATACACCTGTGGCCATGGAGGTGATTGGAACACCTGAATCCAATGATTTGGAGGGGTGTCCCAATACATTTGACAATATAGTGTGTGTGTGTGTGTGTATATATGTAAATATATATGTAAATATGCGCGCGCACACACGGGCCAATTTTAGTTCTGTCCCAAGTAACATTTAACACAATCAGCTTTATTGAAGAAAGTTCTTACGCTTAAGTGCAGTACCCAAAGTATATATATATATATATTAGGGCTGGTAATGATTAAAATTTTCCTGTTCGATTAATCTAATTTTTTTTAATCGATTAATCGACTAATTTCGATTAATTATAACGCACATACAGAGGGGGGTCTCACCAGAGCTTTGAGGGGGCCTCACCAGGGTAGCAGGGCTCTGTGGGGTCTAACCAGCCTTGTTAGAACAACAAGAGGGCGCAAAAGTAGGTCAGCTGACTGCCTGGACCGGACATATCAGGGAAGGTGACAAGAACAATAAATATATAAGTATAATGTACTTACTTATGCGAGTCTGGGAACCAGATGTGAACCGGCCTGTGAGGAGGATCAGGATGTCCAGAATGTATGTTGAATGGCGGCAGCCTCAGGCAATATATCAGCCGCCAGGAAGCGCTTCTCATTGGTCAGTGCTGTTAGGTGACTGCGTTGACCAACGAGTGCTTGAATTTTGCGAGCGAAATTCAGAATACATGGAAAAGGTACAGATAGTAGTACACCCGTACTGGTGGACGAGAAGGACCATTCGCCGAAAGGTAAGTATAGTGGGAGGGAGATTTGTGCGGGTAATTCCATTTCCCAAATTACTTGGGAAAGTGAATTTACCCTTTAAGCCCCGTTCACATTGAGCGATTTATCGCACGGTAATTCCCGCGCTCCAATCCATTTCAATGGGGCAAAGGGTCCTGCTGTCGCGGGTCGTGTGTCGCTACAGCAGGACCCTTTTTGGAGCGGATTTAGCCGCGATTCAAGCTTGCTCAATGCAAGCTTGAATGCGATATCGCGCGGCAAATCTCACAATGTCACGCAATATGCAAATCGCGCTACATAACGCGTGATTTGCATATCGCGCAGTGGGAACGGGGCCTTAGGGTTGGTGCAGACGTGGGGATTCCCAGGACGTGCGATCGTGTGCGGTTGCATAATACCAACTTGCCCGGCGCCCGGAACTACATATCCCGGGCATCGGGCGATACGAATCCCACACCCCTGATATATATCCAATTGAATAGTGTTTTGTTTCCATTTAAACAATATAACTTAGTCACTATGAAACCTAAATAAACTGTTATGCCTGTTTCACTTTTCAGATTATTCACTTAGCATCCTTCCTTAGTATACTGAGTGTATGCCTTCTCTTTGGTTAACATGAAGATGTAATTGGTCAGAGGCACATTACATCAGGTGGTTATGGGATAACTAAACCCAAGAATAAATATGTCATACATTGTAGCTTAGCAGTCCTTGGATGTGGTGGTTGCATCAGTTTTCTTTTTTAAGGCTAAGGACATTTTCAGCAAGCACACAAAATACCATTTGATCTTGCTAGATATGCAGTGGCATTGTTACTTCCTGTGAGATGAACTGAAAGCATAAACAATCAAATCTTTATTCTGTTAACTACTAACCCTCCCTCCATCCCTCATGTAATAGAGATTAACAAAAGCAGGCAGATTTGTAGTCCAACCTGGGTGACAACTTTGGCAGAGTGGATAGATACAGTGGAGAAGTGAGCATGGCCACCAAAGAACAGGAGATATTTAAAAGTGAAAAGTAAAGGAAAAAAAGCCTACAAAATAAAGCTAATGTTTCAACTACATCAAAGGAAATACTGTACTAATATTTTGTTTTTGGGTTTGGATACGCTTTAAGAACTCTACTTAACAAATCTGTGACAACTTGAATGCATAATTAATTTCAGTATAACAATAAAGGTAATTTTAAAACAATGTAATCAAGATATGAGACTTCACAAACGGGAAGATGGTGTAATTAATTATAGAGCAGGATGGACGTTTGGATGTGGATGATATGGCATGGATTTGGGGAAGATAAAAGCTAAATGCATGAAATAATTTGAAAATATGAAATCTTTTCCAGGTACTTTGCCAAAGAGGGGACTTGATGTATCCTCCTGTGAAGTGTTTAGATTCTACAGACTGGTCACTGTAAAAGGACTGATCGAGCCTGTTTCAATGATTGTGCCTAGACGGGTAAGATAAAATTTGTATCTACCAAATTTTGCAGCAGCAGAACTAAATTTATGGGGGAAGTGCAACAGCAAGGAAGAATAAAACGCTGTGATACCGTCTTCTTTTAACTTCACTGACTTCAATATCAAAGAGATGATTTGGTTTTGATTGTAAGCATATTGCAACTACTCTCTTTAAATGATGTTGTTTGGGCAATTTTCTGTATTACCTATTTTTTTTTGTTTAATAGTTGCACTTAAAATAATTATAAAATCAGGGGAGGATTCATGCAAGTACGGAGCAGAGGATTCATGCAAGTAGGGAGCGGATGTCACTGCTGTGACATTCGTGTCCATACAGTTTTTTTCCTCCATCGCAATTACCGGACCCCACGTCTGTCTATCAGATGTAGTCAGGCATGTGTCCATTTACATCAGAATACCCCCCGATCCGGCATGATCAGTTCCGGCTAAACGAATCTCTGATCTGTTTGTTTTTCTGGACCTGGCTGGAGTTGGGGGTAACCCGATGTGAACGGACACCCGTCCATATACACACAGCTAAAGACTTACATTGGCATCCGATCGGGTCTGCCTGAAAAACTGATAGGTGGACCAATGTGAAAGGGGCCTTAGAGTGATGGAAAGTTTATCTTTAATGCTACTGGGTAGAGGGCATATAGAGGGCTTATATTAGAACCCCCCCCCCCGTTGTTGTTGTTGTTGATAGATTGAGGTGGGGAAGTCCGGTCTTTCCTGCATCCAGGGATAGTCATCTATCCCAAACCGCATGTAATCTTCTGTACCACCACTGTCACCCTGTCATTATCTTCGATGGGTTCAGCGGAATCCGCAGGCTCTTTCCGCAGGCATCCCAGAACACCCCATATGAGCGCAGCCTAAAGGTGCCCATACACCTTACAATTATCATTGTAAGGAAAACGAATGCAATCCCAATTTGGTTGAACAGGCAGACTAGAAAACTTCAATTGAAACGGATGAAAATCGATGGATTAGTGAAGTTTTCATAAAATAAAAATCGCAAAATATGAACACTGCACGTGCGGAAACTAAAATCTGTTCTGTCGATCGCAATACTAACTGGCCGAATTTCTTCTAACAAACGATTATCAAAATCTACATTGGTCTGTGCATGATGGGCTATTTGTGTGGAAATTGAACGAGGGTGCGATGACGTGACAAATAAAATTGAATGATAATTGTAAGGCAGGGGTGCCCATAAGGTCAATTGCAATCTACCAGTCGTTTGCAAAGCTAACGCTGGTAGATCGCGGGTCAACTCCCTCTCCCGCGCTCCGTCCCGCTGTGTTAGTGCGGCCGAATGTCTTGGATGCCGAAGCATTCGGCCCGCCCCTCCCTGACTCCAGCATCCAATAAACTTTGCAGCCTCTAACAAAAAGCAGAGACATTCAGCATGCCCTTCCCTGTCTGCAGCCTCCAATAAACTGTGCCGCATCTACCCGCCCGCAGAGACATTCGGCCCGCCTCTCCCTGTCTGCAGCCCCCAATAAACTGTGCTGCATCTACCCGCCCGCAGAGACTTTCGGCCCACCTCTCCCTGTCTGCAGCCCCCAATAAACTGTGCCGCATATACCCGCCCGCAGAGACATTCAGCATGCCCTTCCCTGTCTGCAGCCTCCAATAAACTGTGTCGCATCCCCCGCCCGCAGAGACATTCAACATGCCCTTCCCTGTCTGCAGCCTCCAATAAACTGTGCCGCATCCCCCCGCCCGCAGAGACATTCGGCCCGCCTCTCCCTGTCTGCAGCCCCCAATAAACTGTGCCGCATCTACCCGCCCGCAGAGACATTCGGCACGCCCCTCCCTGTCTGCATCCTCCAATGAACTGCCGCATCTACCAGCCCGCAGAGACATTCGCCCCGCTTCTCCCTGTCTGCAGCCTCAATAAACTTTGCCGCCTGCAGCTTTGGACACATCTGACCCGCTCCTCCCAGTCTGCAGCATCAGGCACATTGGGACCACACGTTCCCATCTTCCGAGTTGGATACACCAACACGCCTTAGGAGCCACTCCTGGAAGCAGGTAGCTTCTTTTAGCAACTTACAGGTGTTAACCCCTTACTGCCCATGGCAGTATTAGGTTAACAAAAAAAATGTTAGGGTTAAGTGGCTGAGCAGTTTAGATCTCTAAATGTGGCCTGTTATCTGAACGTGGAGGCTGCTAATATCCCGATTGTGTTAAATATGACCCCCACAAATAGTTCAGGCCCAAAGCATGAAACACAGATATCACATTTAATTTCCAGTGTTAATATGACATGTGATAATGCCTGAATAAAAGAAAGCAATGTTTTAGGACGGTGTTTAGGGCCAGTTCACACGAGTTACAGTGCAATCCAGTGCGGTAAGCTGCTGGAACGCACTGTATCGCATAGTAAACTCCCCCCCTCCCCCTGCGTGCTGGGCCGGAATGGGCCGTGGCGGTGAAGTGAAGTCACCAGAACACAGAAATCTATTGTGCTGTGGGCATTTTGAGTTAATTGTTAATATTGAACATCTGTATTCATATTAGGTTTATTCAATAGGGAGATATGTGCAGTCCCAGTAAGCATTTTATTGTGTTTGTTTTTCAAATACAGGTGTTTCTTTTCATTGGTAGATCTCATTGAGCTCGTCATTTGAAAAGTAGATCTTACCAAAAATGTGGGCACCCCTGTTGTAAGGTGTATGACAGGTGCAAATGACAGGACAGTTGCTGTCCTGTCATTTGCCTGATCTCGCATGTCTCCCATCATTTGAGTGCATTTAGCACTTTCAATGAACAAAGCCCTGTAGTTCTATCCATTCCTGTAATCTACATTTCTCTGTTATTTGACACTGTTACGCACTTAATGTGTGCAGTCAGCAGTTGACAGGGCAGCAGCTGTCAGATCTGAGGATCTGAAAAGGTAAACCTAATCCCAGTCAAAATTTCTGCATTTAAAGTACTTTTGTTATCGTCATTTGCAAGTGCACTTGACTGCTTGGTTGCACTGCATTCAAGTATATATTCACTCCATAATCTGTCCCAAAGTTTTGCTCAAATGCTGTTTCAATGCATAAGTTGTGATGTAACAACTACATGGCTTCTTACACTACATCTTTTGAAGCACAGAGAGAAAAAAAGGTTACCACATGGGTGGAAAGCTGCCACATTTCACCCCATTTTACAAATATTGGGCTTCTGATCAGATCTAACTGACAGGACCTGATCAGACCGCCCGTCTGGGGCCTAAAATAGAATAGCTTTTAACATTACAAAATAAATTCTAGGCAAGCCTGTTTGCTGAGTCTACAAAACTTAATGCAAACATGACAGCGGCATTTTACTATGGGGACAGTTTACAAATGTAACCACTAGAACCCCCGGTGCTGTATGCAAATGGTTCTGGAATTTTAGTTGTTTATTGCAGTCTTGTTGCTAGAACTGCAAGCCTTCAGTGACAGCTGTAGTCCGGTGCTACTTATGTGGGCTGGGGATCCTTCTAACGCCAATCATTGAACTATGCAGCATAGTGCAAGACTACGGCACGCCGTGTGTCTGCATGGTGTCCTGTGCCTCGGAAATGTGAGCCCCGGCACATAAAGCACAGATCTGCTTCCTTGTTTTGTGTGGTAGAACTAGGAAGAAAAGGAACTGGCATTTTAAGACTGAAGAAAAAGTGCTATAATCAATATTTCTGGGAGCTCCAGCAGCCGTTTTAAAGAAGGCAGAGTTGATCTAGACCAGTCCTGTCTCTTCCTGAATAATAATAATCATAATATCAATTAAAAATCATAAAGTATTGCTAAAATGTAAAAATCCCCCTCTCCCTATTAATCCCCAGATCTCAGCAAATACTGTACATAGGAAGCTCTGGATGACATATTTTAACTTTGTGAGTGTCAAACAGTGCACAATGTCATACAAAGGTTCTGTCCATACAAACCAAGCTTGATCTTGTAATAATGTTACACTAAAGAAATTATGCAAACAAATGATTTGTATCTTTGTGTACATGATGAATTAACATTTTAAAAGGGGAAAACACCACTCCTAAATTAAAAAGCAGGTTTTCAATTAGCACTCTCCATCACATAAAAATCACACTTTTGTAATATCCTTTAGAAGGCTTTAGTGGGTTTAAGTTATGCTGGGAAAAAATAATAAAATCTTATTGTTCCCTCTTTGTTCATTGTTAAAATGTAGAAAATAAAAAGACATATCCAAACCGGCTTTCAAATTAAAGGCTTATCTGTCCTGAAAAAAAGTGTAATACATTAGAATAGGCTACAAAAGATAAAGGTTATAACAGTGGCGTCACAAGGGGGGTCCGGCCCGCACCTGGGTGACACCAAAATTACTGACAGTCATTTTGGTGTCACCCCCTCTAAAAAGTTGGGCACTCTGTCATGCACCGAGAGCCCGACAGTGTCAGGAAAGAGGAGGGGACCCGGCGGCATACCTCATCCCGCTCGGTGAACGTCCCCTAGTGTCTCTGCCAGCGTCCATCACCAAGATGGCCGTTGGCAGGCGTCAATCAGATGGCCGGGAATGCGCGATGTGACGTCACGCGCAATGACGACACGGCAGGGTATCGCCCGGTCTGGAGACACCCGGCCTCTGGACGCCCCTGGATTATAACATAAGGCAACAACACATCTCCAAAATGGAAATGTGGCACTTAAAGGGAAATAGGCTGTGGAAGTGAGGTGGTTAAACAAAACCTGCACACAGTTACCCAACTGTTGTGCAGAGGGACCTGCTTGGGAACTCTTGTTGAGGTGACATATGATGGCTGGGTAATGGAAGGTATGGTCTCTGCAGTCCATACAATGCTACTGATGTAAGTAGGATTTTCATCCTGACTGTATGACCATTTTTGTATATAGAATGATTATCATTATTATTATGTATTAATATTATTTCAAATAATATTATATATTAATGAATATTTCCCTTGCTGTAATGTAACTTTCAAGGTGCATATATGCTCACAGTCAGGCAATGTAAATGGCTTTATAAAAACTTACCAATGTGGCGTTTTAATTTTAGAGCTTTCTTTCTTTGTGTCTTGTAGTCAGAATCGTACCAGGAGGACATATACCCAATGACAGCTGGAACCCAGCCAGCCCTCACTGCACATGAATGGATGAGTGGAATTAATAGAGGTCAGACTGGGATATCTTTAAAAGACTTGCCCATGCCGATATCTTAGTACTTGATTTCCTTTTTGTTTCTTGCTCTAGCCTTTTTAAGTGTCTGTGAGAAAGGTTGTTCCTCAGAGCATTTATCAGAGAGAATAGGAAACAAAGTAAATGTGTGAAACTGGTCTAAGCTTTCAAACCGAAATGTTAGTCCAATTATACAAAGTACCAGGAGATGGAAGGGAACTTGGTGGCAGGATCTACTTTAAAGAGCAATCATCTTTAATAATTAAATACATCATGTCTGAAAGATATCCAGTGAAAAGCCAGACGAAGCGTCTATTGCAGCTATCTCTGCAGAGCTTCCTTTTTTGTCCTTCGGTGTCTACTGTAAATCTGGATTTTGCGATTATAAAGAGCAATATCCCTTCAAAAACCTTTTCTTTTTGGACAATGTGCACTGTCGAGGAGCATTAGCATCAATCTTACTGAAACGATTGCTGGTGCGGTTATGTAACCGTTACCTTCATAGCTGGATAGCTGCATGTATTATTGTCAGTATAAAATGCAGCTCAGCTGTACAAAGGAACATTAAGTGGACGCCAGCGTTTACTTGACATTATTCTTTCTTTTACAATGGGTAATGGGAGCATGCCAAGTTTGTTGGGTACTGTGATGATGCAATGACAATTGGTATGCACTGCCTGCATATTTTAGGCTTTTACTATTGGCTTTTCAGTGGATCATCATAGTTTGCAACAAATTTGCATTGATGTTTGCAGTGAGGAAAAGATCTTTAGGTTTACATTCATCCAGTAAATAAAAAAAATGGGAAGAGTATTCTGTTTTCTGTCAGCGGTGGGGGTCTTGTACCTATTCCGCTTTATCCCTTAAATGGGCATGCTCCCTCTTCTTGTCTGATCTCTTCAAATTTCCATCCCCCCCCCTTTCCAGCACTTCCTGTTTCCTCTAAATAGTACTGAATAAATCTGGTATCACTCTCTCCAGTACCAGTGATTAATGCTTGGGAAAAGACATAATAGCCCTTACAGTTTCATCTACCGTGACTGGTTTCTCTAAAAGTTCCCTTTGTTGGGAGGCAAAGTGTTGTAACTGATACTCTGGTTAAGTAGCTATTTGGTTCTTCTGTAGAGGTTTGAGAGTGTTGTTGATAAAGTCTTGTGTAAAATTGTTGGAATGTTTTCAGAAACTCATCCTCTCAAAAGTACTGGAAGGTTGTTGCACAATCTAAATGTCACACCCTTAGGGCTCATGCACCATCTGCCTATGCTCTCCTCCTCAGTTTAGCCTCCCCCTCCTTTCCCCCTATTCTCGTTTTCAATGCTACATTCTCCTGTGTGACTTATTTCTCATCATGTGGTGCCCCTGTGAGTGCACTCTAGAGTGATCGCATGCCTAGAGCGCACACAGTCATACAAATGCAATTAAAACATACACAGTCAAAGTATGGATGAACAGAGCACACAGACAATACAGGCAGATAGACAAAAGCAACACACAAAAGTGCGCAAGCTCAGAGCACATGCAGTCAGTGCACATGTAGACAGACAACACACATCTCACAGGGTGTGCACAGTTTGAGATCGCACACAGCACACAAGGAGCACCCAGAGAGCAAACACAACACCCTCTGACAGGACACAAAGCATGCAGTGTAAAAAAATATGCTTGAACAGGACTTGCTAAATGAGAAACACACAAACAAATTACAATGCTGCGTATCAATTTTGTGCTAAGCATTGTTAGACCAGCATGGTGGACTTGCTGCATCTGTATATAGTGTAGCACTGATTTTGTTTTTGCATGTATATACTGGGGGGGGAGGGGGGGGGATTTATCATAGCAATTGCGAGTGTTTGAACTTGCACGGAATATATTTGATGCACCATATTTATGATGCTTGTGTAATGTTGCTCATAAATGAGGATTAATAGACACAAAACACGCGCAATTGGAAAAGTAGTGCAAGTTCAGGTCTAAACGGGCACATGTTAAAAGACAGATTTGCACATTAAAAAAAATGATCTAAAACTCTCGCAATTTCTTTGATAAATCCCCCCACTGTATGTAAGATATTTCCTTTGCACTTGTGTGCAAAGTCATCTTGCACACATACAATGTGCTTAGCAACATACAGTAAATGAAGGTAGGTTGGTCTTGCAAAAATGGTAGATGTAATCACAAATAACTTGGCACTAGGTTACCGAAAAATGTAATTTCTGGTTTGGCAGTTGAGCAGGTTGAAGCAATTTTATCACCTAAGTTCTGTACACATACAAAAAAGCACACTGTTGTTAGAGAAATTGTCTTTTATGAAGCAATCCAGTTGACATTGTGAAATTATTATTATGGTACAGACAAACATCCTTCATGTTTGTGAAGTTTATTCAGTGTTATAGCACAGCCATGTGCCTGACAGAACCATTGTTTACATTTAAGTATTATAGCACATTACTTATCACCTAGTCAGGAAGACTTATTTCATCCAGTGGACTATCTTCAGAGTGTAAAATTGTGAATAACACAAAAGAGTAGATGTCAATGTTGAGAGGAATGTTGTTTTCCTGTGCAGTGAGTTACTGACCAGAAAAGAAGCATACAGCACTTCAATTCAGACATTGCAGACTTCATTAGCTGCATGCTTTCCCCAGGTCAGTGACTTGTTGGGTAATAGACAGGATCGGGATGGCAGTTAGCAAAGCCAGCTGATAGATTTCTGTCCCCACATGTTCACTGTAATATAATTTTTAATAGGGTTTCCACCTTTTGTTGTAGTCCCAGTCAGGGGTGAGAGGGTAAGAGAGGGCACCGTTCTGAAAGTACAGTTTTCAATCAGAGGATCTTTTTTGTCTAAAGCCAGGAAAGGGATCCTGTCTGATTGGCCAATACCAGACTTGGGCACCAAAACAACACTCCACACCATGCTTAGGCGTGCACTGCCCTAGAACTAGCACTGCTTCTATAAGTCTGACAGTGGCAGTCTATGGAGATGTATTGGAGCCTTGCCTCTAACACATAACTATCGTAAGAGGTTCCCATTAAATTCAGTGAGATTATGTTATTGGGTACTCATGTCTCTTATGTGCAGTGTTTTTCGTGTGGGATTAAAAAAAATCACCTAGTTAGCTTTGCGCTTCATTGACTGAAGAGGCAGGGTGTTATGGATTAAAATTGCTGCATGGTGCTAGGTATCCTCCAAAGCAATGCAATAGAAGCTCTCCCAATCATAAACCCAGCTTATCAAACAGACCCTCACAAATTTTCATAGTAAAGATTCTGTTTTAAGCATTACTTAATACAATGCAATTCTTCTGAAACTATTAGAAAGAATATTGAGCCATACCCTGAAGTTTATAAAGAGTGTTGTAGACATCCATACATAAATTTGCCACATGCACTGCCATTTGCAGTGTGGAGGTGCAATGAGGCCAGAGTATCCATACTGGATACTCCATCCTCTGTGCAGCTCAACAGCACTTAGCCTGGTAATATCACAGGCTCATCATTACTGAGCTTCCGCCCTGGCTGCTGCATGTGGCACATGGGCAGGTGCAGTGGTAAAGGACCTATACAGTGGTTGGGCAGAACCTGATGGGTAAATCTGAGAACGGAGTTCCCCATCTGTCCAGCTCTGCTGCAGATTGACAGCAGGCAGTTGGCAGGTGCCATAGTCATTAGTAGACAGGCTACAGCACTCACCTACTGCCTGCTGTCAATCAGCAGCAGACCTAATGGGGAACTTGGCTCTCCAAGTTCCCCATCAGGCTCCACCCACTCAACATCAGTGACAGTGGGGGTCAGTGGTTGGGTGTTAGGGATGGTGTCAGCTACAGCCGACAGCGTCCTGAAACAACCAGTGACCCTGGCAGTGGGTGGAGCCTGATTGAGAATTCTGAGAACTGAGTTCCCCATAAGGTCATCTATGGCTATAGCACCTACACAGCAGGTGAATCCACAACCGAGCGGTCCTGCTGGGGGACTTGGCCCTCAAAGTTCCCCATCAGGCTCCACCAATTCAATGTCACATAAGACAACTAAATGTAAGCAAGGAGGATGCTGGCTGACATCGTAACCCAAATATGGCCATATTTTGGTAATAATATCAGCCATCATTCCCAGCCCCTTTGTTTACTTTCAGCTGCCAGCTGGGATCTCTCCCAACCGGCAGCTGAATGGGGCTGGGAATGCATAATTGGTTGCGAGGACTCCAGTGGCCTGGTGTCCTAGAAACCAATGAATGGGAAGCTGCCAGATTAATTATAGCTTCCAGCACATACGTGCTCCACGGTGAGCATTGCTGTCTCTCTCGCGCTCTCTCTCGCACTCTTGCTGTCTTTTGCGTTCTCTCTCTCGCACTCTTGATCTCTCTTTTCCCCCATGGAGTACAATTATACAGACAAAATTCATGACTACTTTCTGTTCCTATATACAGCCAGTGTGAAACTTAAGAGCTGCATTTTAACTTTATTGTTTAGGTCACTCGTTTTTATTTGAGAAATGTATTTATTGGGGATCTATGTACACTGCAAGGATTTTAAAAACTTTTTTTTGCAGATGTCTACTTTTTTTTTTTTTTTTCCTGTTCTTAATTATACTAAATCACTCATTATACCAAATCTCAGTGTTCTAGAGTAATGCTGTAGTGTCTGCAACAGTGTACAGAACACCTTCTGGTTGCCATAATGCATGGAATTCTTTGATGGTGTTAGAAAATGACAGCAGCTGCAGATTGAAATTGAATGGTATTTTAAACAACATTAGGCTACAAATGGCTTGTGCAGCAATTGTTTTATGCTATATTCATTATGGTTCAACAAAAGTGGAGTTTTACTTTAAAATTGACGTGGCTGTATGGATGCAAATAAATGTTTGTCTTATATTGCAGCATTTGTTTTCACTGTCAGCAGCAAAGGGAATACATAGCTTCTGTACAATGCCACAATAAAAGTATGAGCACTCAATGCTTTACTATTAGCTGTTCTTTCCTGATTTTTCCATTCATAATATTACAATGTAGATGAAGGTTTAACAAACAGTCTATTCTGAAAATGTTCTAGTCATTGCATTGTGAATGATAAAAAGTGCTGTAAGCACTAAGTTCAATCACAGACTTTTTTATTATACATCCACCTTTCACCATTCTCCTTGAGTTGCATATACATAATCTGCTTTCTTATACCAGGCAACAGTGAAAGAAGCAAATTACTCCAGAGAGAGAATAAAGAGCCCATTATTAATGTCTGTAATGGTTACATGGGACTGATGTTGAATATTAGAATAGCAGAATAATAGGGATTTTTCCTATAGCAACCATTCATGTTTCATCCTCCAATTTTCACCATCAGTCCTATTTAGCATTTACAGCTGGCAAAAATAGAACCAGGCATCTTGTTGCCCTGGGCAGTTCATGTAGTTTATAGTGACAAAAAATGCAATCTTAGATGTTCACTAGCCTGGATGTGTGAGTGAAGTCCCAACAGTGTAGTACCAACACTATGTTTTTCACAACATGGCCTTTGTGCAGTGAGATCACTTGTTCTTTTACAGCTTCAATTATAGGAAGGCAGTCAGCAATGTGTTTCTTGTTCTGCTATCAAACTTCTATTTATGATTCACACCTAGGTCCACAGAGCTTTTACGTGGCTTATTGGGCCGACAGCTAGTTGCATCTAAAACAGAGAAGCCTTTTCATAAATTACATTTAATTCATTGCTGTTAATTCCCCTTTAGGTCCTATTCTGATATCCTTAAAGCCCGGAGAAAAGATAGCTGTGCCCAGTGAGGAGCCCAGATTGCCTGCTAAAGAGCCAAAGAAAACATATGAGGAAAAGGCTCCCACAAAGACTGTCTGGGAAATAGAGTACAAGACAGAGTTTTACAGAGAAGACAGAGCAAAGAGGATCACAGATAGAAGACTAGAATCTAGGAACTCCTTTATCTCCAATGGGTTGGACTTGTTTGAATGTCCTCCACCCAAGACGGAAAACGAGGTATGGCTCATTTCATGTGTATGGCTGGTAAGAATATAGGTTGTATGGTGGTTAGAGAAGGCGATGGCTTTCTTTTTCTGTGTAATTTTTAGTTTAATGCTCCCAACACAATTGTAAACTTGTAAAAAGGTTATGCAAATGTCCTCAGTAACCTGATTCAACCTCCGTCATTTTGGGGCAATACATATTTAGTCTGAACTGAGTGTAATTGAAAGGTAAGCATATTTTTAGTACACTTAACCGTATTGGCATATCTGTAAAAAAAATAATTCAAGGCTACTGGACTTGCTGTAATTTTCTTGAAGACGTTTCACTGGTCATCCAACCAGCTTTCTCAATTCAGAATGACTTGTACAAAAATTATCTGGGAATAAATATGGTGAATGTTGCTCCAATCCACATAATTTGATAGTCACAACACATCTCTATGGGCAGGTTAATAACACCTCCTAGACTCCAAACACCTGGTTGTGACTAACAGATTATGTGGATTGGAGCAACATTCACCATATTTATTCCCAGATAATGTTTTGTACAAGTCATTCTGAATTGAGAAAGCTGGTCGGATGTCCAGTTAAACGTCTCCAGGAAAAAAAATACAGCAAGTCCAGTTGCCTTGAGTTAATTTTTACAGATATACCATGACCTGGATGAATGAGAACCTTCACAGACACTTAACCGTATTAGGCTCCAAGGCCCTTCACCAGCATGCCCACCAAGCATCACATTTTGTTGTCCTCTCAAATCCTAATTAAGGTACACATACTAAAAGTACACTTATTCTTTAACTGACTTTTGCAGACAAATAAGTATCGGAAAAAGGAACTAACTTACTATTGAACTAGATAGCACTTTAAAGCAACGCTGCTGCTGAAAATAAAATGTAAAATAAATAAAGTATCCCCTGAAAAGAACTTAATGAATACTCACCTCTCCCACTTCCCGTGCTGGAGATATCTGCTGTATCTGAAAGGGGGGACTCTGATGTGAAGGGGAGCTCTGCATTGTTTTATGTGGTGGGGTCTGGTATAGATTTTAGGGAGGGGGAAAACCACAGATCTTTTTTTCCATTTATGTTTTTTTGCATTTTAGACTGGAGTGCCTCTTGCATCAATTTTAAAGGGTGCTGTGACTAAAAAAAGGTTGAGAAATGCTGATCTAGTCTAGTGCTGTCTGCCTGTGTATGGAAAGTTTAGGATGGGATCACTGTAATATCTTTGTTTTATTCAGTAGTGATATTGTGCCCTATCTGCGTAACACTGTTATTTTCTTTTACTGTTCAGTTATTGCAAATGTTCTACAAACAGCAGGAAGAAATCCGCAAATTACGTGAACAGTTGAGCCAAAGAGATATTCAGATTCGACAGCTCAAGTTGGAAATCAAAAACGTCCACAACAGCGCAGCCCCCTACTGACTCTACTTGACTTACAGCCAATAGAATGTAACTCTCAACAATGCCTCTAGAAAACCATTACATTTTATTTTTATGTACAAAGGAAAAAAACAATTGTGAATAGAAACTTAGCAATGCTACATGGTGCACGGAATGTTTACCATTATTTGTTACCAGTATTTTTAATATCTCTAATATTTTTAATTACAATCATTGTCAATCCTAGTGGACTGCTAAGCCCAATTACCAGAGTTTTGGATGTGTTCCTAAGCCTGCCTATGAAAAACCAATAGAGAAAACATGGAGTACTTGTATAGTGATGGATAGCTAAGACTGAACCCTGATGGGTATTTATTGTGAATCAAAAATGTAAGCTGGGGATCTATTCCTATGACTTTCAGGCTTCATGGTAAGAACAGGGAGGTTGGACACTTTGGTAAGAGGCTTACTGCATCTTAACAGTCCTTTTGTGGTCAGGATAAGTATAGGTAACACAAACATGTATGCAAATTGTATTTTTTTTCCTGGGCTGCTTATACCTGTTTCAGAGTCACTGATATATACAGTTTTATTTGTTGCGACATGTATGATTTTATTTATTTAACAATAATTGCACTGTACACATAGAGCCTGATTTACGAAAGTGTGAGGCCCCTGTCACACCTTTGCACTTTGTTGATGTGTGTTACAACACATGTGGTAACATGGGTTCTGTTGCATGTTTATGTGTGTTGTGGTTAGGCAGCCTATTTGAATGGGCTACCAACACACCACAATGGAGCAAAAAATTGTACCTTGTACCCTTAATCCAGTGCAGGTGCATTGCCCGCCGTTGTAACAGTGTGCTGGAATGCCATTCAAAATGAATGGCACCCGAATGCACTGCACCATAAAACACATGTTAGTTTTGTGTTGCCGAGAGAGCCTAAGTTTGAATGGGCCCTGTCGTGAAGCTGGGCCTGTTGTACTAAAGTGAGTTTAAAAGAAATTAATTTGGGTTCGATTACCAATCACTAAGCAGGTGGCATGAAAAAATAAATACATTAATAATTAAAATATATATATCTATATATATTCTGCACATGATCGGCTTGGAAGCAAGCACCGGTGCTGTTCACATTTGTCCTGTTTTTGTTTTACTTCCTCTCATTTCACACTTTATTAAGTTAGGCCTATAGTTTGAGATTCTGATGATCCAAGGGCTGGAATTCTTCTTAAATAATGGTGACATTTCTAGGTAAAGCATAAAACTCAGAACTATACAGAATGATAATTTAATTTAATCATGTCTGTTTTTTGTATGCACACCTTGGAATAAAACATAATGTTGCTGGAAGTGAAAAGTGTCTCAGAAAACATCCTGCTTCTATGGGCTCCTGACATCAAGTTATCTCACACAATGCAGTTCCTTGCAGCACTAAACCCTATTCAAACCACCCAAATGTGCACTGGTTTGCAAATTGTGACCTTTATGAAGGGGTACTGCTGCAGCTAGCAATTCGATAAAAGGAAAGCAACAACCTGTTCACATAGCCTGATACTTTATACAGGTTATTGTATGGGGACTGAAATATAGAGGCCTGGTCGTTAAAGGGTGAAGAGTTTGGAGAAGGCAGGAGAAGTGAACAATCTAGGACAACATAGCTGAACTGGAAAGTGAGCTGAATTGGAGACATTTTCCATATCAGCTATGTTGTCCTAGATTGTTCTCTTCTCCTGCCTTCTCCAAACTCTTCACCCTTTTGTGAATAACACTGATGGTGTATTTGTCAGCATCAACTTGCATACATATCCTTCAGGATATGTCTAATATACTCTGCATCATCCTACTTTTTTGGAAACAGTTACTTAAATAATAATGATGATTACAATGTATTTACTACTTTAGTAGCCAGAAGTGCTGGTAAACTGGACCTGTCACTTACATAATAGAATATTATATAATATCTGACATGACATCACAAATTATGAATGTTTATTACAGCTTTGAATGTGTTCTTCAATTGTGTGATTTGTTTTCAGAAAACGTTTAAGAAAATGGGTTTCGGTGGGTTACTCTGGACGAAATGGCTAAAAAAAATGCAAAAATGGAAGTTGAAAAATGTTTGAACATGGAATTTTTTGATATAAAGTAGCTGTTCACAATTCCATTTTTGAGGGGCTTGTAGGGGCAATAAACCAAGCGAGCCAACTCCGACTTCCATTGGCCTTAAAATATATTAGAGGTGATCATTAAAGGGTATGGCAGAAATGGTCATGAATAATTGCTGGCATTCATTTTAGTTTTATATCTTTTATAGATGACATAAAACATGTATAAAGTTTTTTTTCCTTCTTGAAGAAAAAATATTGTTTTTTTTTACGTACATTTTTAATTGACATCATGAACACAATCCGATCTATGCAAAGTAATACAAAAGTTGTAACCCTAGAAAAATCTGTCTGTACATTTAAAAAGGGAGCAAGAAATGAATAACAGTGATAAAATATACAGTGTCAGTAAACAACTTTGTCATGGCAATTCAAGCTAACAATTCCAAAAACAGCATGATCATATCGGCCAAAGAAAAATCAAACACCAGTAAAACTTAAAGTAGATCTAAACTCTGACTTCAGGGCATTTTTTTTGCTGAATCACTATGTATCAAACAATTTTCCATCAAATACTTGTTTTCATTCATTATTCATCCTTTATTGCATCTTGGCGTTGCTGATCTTCTGCAGCTTCCTTCAGCCATTTCCTGTTGGCTGCACACCATTGCTCTAGACCAGGGGTGGCAAGCCTCCGGCCCTCCAGCTGTGGTGGAACTACACATCCCATGAGGCACTGCAAGATTCTCACAGCCACAGGCATGACTCCCAAAGAGAGATGCATCATGGGATTTGTAGTTTCACCACAGCTGGAGGGACAGAGGTTTGCTACCCCTGTTCTAGACTGACTAATAACAACGAATGTGGCCCATGCCTATGCAATGTGTCTCGACATAGCTGTTTGTAGTCTCCAGTAGAGACTACAAACAGGGTGTGTGACAGGGTGACATTCAGGTGCACAATTGTTAGACAGTTGTCCATCCAGCTCTATGCCCCTCCACACACAAAAAGAAACAAAGTCTAAACAAGGACCTCTATGGCAGGTATGCTTTTTTACATTACCTCAATATGTAATGGCTTATATGAAAGTATTGTTAATGCATTTATATCTACTTTAAAGTTTGGTAAAATAAGCTCCCAACCCCCCAATTGTAGCCTACCTGATAAAATGATTTCCGATCTATTCCTGTGATCTTCAATGTCCAGTCCTACCTGACTCTACAAAGCCTTCCTACTGTTCATGCGTGCTGCACCCCCATTCATCACTGTGACTGAGCCTTACTTGAGTCGGCCTTAGGCTGTCAAAAGGGTAGAGCTCATCTACAGATATGAATGGGGCCTGTGGCACACATGCGCATTAAGTAGAGGACTCTGCAAGGTGGGGGGATGGGGGGTTTACTTGCAGTACAACTTAAAATTTAAAGTTGTCCTCTAAGGAAAACATGAAACAGCCAAAGATGCAACCATATACAGACATTAAAGCAATCCTATATTGAAAGAATATAAATCTGCCCATGATGTCCTCTCCTTCCAAAAACCTAGTTGCCTGACTGTCATGCCAGCATGCAGATTCAGAGTTCTTTATTTACGCTGACTTTCTAGTCTGCATGCTTCCTTTCAGTACAGTGGCTCAGAAATATTTTTTGAATCCACATCCAACCAGTAGTCCTGGAAGGAGGTCAGCAATGACCGCTACTCTCCGGATGGCTTTTCAGGTGCTACATGTAAAAGTTTACATTATATGTCTAATACAGAATTAAAATATTCATTAAGGATTATGTAATCATTTCACAGAAAGAGCCTGCACCTATATGGTATAACATGCACACAAACATATGACAATTAAAGTTCAGGATATGATAGCTATTGTCATAAAGTAGTTACACTATTAGGCCACGACTCAAAAGACATAGCAGTACATTAGTATATGCTCTTGCATTTCCAACAAAATGAACCGGTATGAATGGCATTTACGGTCAGAGCCAGATCATCTACAAGGAAACCTATGCAGGAGCCTAGGACCTGGTAGATATGCAGGGGTACAACCTTCATACTCCAGTAGTAAACCAGTGGGATAGTGTAATTATTTAAAGCTGTGCGTCACTTTACAACGAGAGGTATCTGTAGGCAGTTGGTGTCTGATGGGGCCAAGCCAATAGAGACTGTGCAAATGGGGCACCTTTTCAATACCTATTGCAATTCTTATTGTTGTCAGTTGAAGAAGTGGGGGGAAGCTATTAGGGTCCAATTCTCCCTTAAAGTGTATCTAAACTCTAAAACCAAAAATGTAATATACTGCAGTTTACCAGTCCTTTGAGGTGGTCTCTGCATTAGTTTTCTTTACCTTTTTTCACCTTTTAATCATTTGAGTAATACACTTCCTGCTCCTTCATGGCTACGCTTTTTTTCTCCACTGAATCTGTGGAAAGAGCCATTGTTGTAACCCAGGCTGGACTTCAAACATTGCTGATGAACATGATTTGTTCATCTCCATACCATAGTGGAATGATGGACTCGTATTTTACACATAAAGGTAAGGTTCTTTGGGCTTTCTTTTAAGCTCACATGAAGTAAGTGACAAGGACACTGATGGGGATCTATCAAATTGTGGAGCAGATTTGCAATGCAGCCAATCAGCATCTCTCTCTTTTTCAAATCTTACCTAAGTAAACTGAAGAGAGAAGCTGATTGGTTGCCATGGGCAACTGCTCCAGGTTCTGATTGCTCCAGTTTTGATCAATCCCCCCCCCACACACACTTTATTTCAGGCAAGATCAACAGGTATTTGCTGTACATGAAAAGTGAAAACGAATGCAGCCACCACATCTACATGTGATATGTGATTATTTTTGATGTTGGGTATAGATATGCTCTACCCTGTCTCTTATTCCCAATGCAGTCTTTTTTTATCCAATGAATGTTAGGAGGTCAATGCCAGTCCAGCCTATACTGCCCTGCTATGGCTCTGTCCATTTCTAGATGGAAGCTTTGTGATATTGTTAATGAACATGTATTTCCTGCTGCACAATGCTCAGCTTTTGAATGCGTTGCATTCGGGGGTGGTGGTTTGGTGCAAGATAACCAAGGTTTA